AAGCTAGTAGAAACAATAAGCTAGTAGAAACAAGTGCATCGCTACTACTAACAAGTGCCTTACTATTAGGAACAAGAAGCTGGTAGAAACAATATGGCTACGACATGCTACGACTATGGCCCACAAGGAAGACCTCTGAAGGACAGGGGCACGGACTCCACCACGGACATCTCGAGCCCTGACAACCTGTTCAACACGCGTCCATTGACTTCTACAACATGGGCGTGTACTGCCAGCCATGTCATTGCAACAAAGAAATTGCCGAAATGGCCCTGCACAGTTTGACGTGTTGACCTCGCTCGGTTTTCAAGCACTACATATCCAGCTTGGGCCAGGAAACCAGCCAATGAACTCCAGGAGGTGCTTGGAGGAAAGCCTGTGGTTTGGTCACAACGAATCAAGCTCCAAGCGTTTGGCCACAGCAGTTCGTGTGTGGTGAAGTGGCCTGTGGAGAGCGACTGAAAAGCCTCGGAGGACAATCGCATTTGTCACCACCAGGCCCATCCCCCTTCATGTCGAACCCACCCCCCGTCTAGGAATCGGACCGAAAGCGTCGCCTGGAAACCACTAGATCCAACCCCAATAGCAATGGCCTCCAACCTGCTAGCGATGGCCTCCAACTTACTATTCAACATACTAATCCCGCAACTGGACTTCCATGAGTGCCAGCTCTGGACGGACAATTGAGCTAAGGCCAACGGCCCGCCCAAGGTAGTCCAGAAGCGCATACTGTCTGGATCTTCCTGCCAGGTCTGCTTTGGAGGTTGGAGTGGTCATAGCTCACGACGTAGTGCTTGCATATATATATATATATATATGTACGTGATATGGCATACGCTACGTTTGAGGTGACCGTCCCAATCGATGTTCAAATCTGCGGCCAGCCCATTGCCTGAAAAAAAGCTTCGGCTGGCAATGTCACATTGGTTGTGGACAGACTGGTGTGAATAAGACTCTCGTTGCAGCCCAAGTGCTTCCATTGAGTGCCTTGCAGAGTTGGATGGCTGCTGCCACTCGTATACAACAAACAGAAGGACGAAGATATGAAGAGGGGCAAAAGGATAGAAGGAGCACAAGGTGCAGCGCCTCAAAGGGAAAGGTCAAGAATTCGTACTCTAAACCCGACAGATCTTCATCTGTCCTGGCAGCCAGGGTGCATAGTTTCCACATGTTTCCACTCATGCAACTCTGCACTGAGATCTAGACCAACTGAATGTATTGACGGCAAAAGTCGTCCTGTACCAACTGGACACACAGCCGGATATCAAGAAAGCAGCATCCCAAACAGTGAATGAAGCAAGGTTTCTACAAACAAATATACTTAAACTTGTAGATATCATCAAAGTTGGGCGTGGTGTTTGTACATGTTTGTTCAGTTGTGGGTTGCTGGGTGTCGGGTTCATCAGGGTTGGAGGCCATCGCTAATAGGCTGGAGGCCATCGCGCGCTTCACTTTGATGTTGCCTTTGCGATTGCATTTCTCTGGGCCCCAGGGCCTGGTTACAATCTTTCGGCAGCAGAATGGTTTGTTTCTTCCTTCCCTGCCTTCCTGGACCTTCCTCCCTTAGTTTACTTTTGAAAGTTTCTTGCTTACACCCGGCAAATGCTTGATGCTTGTTAACTTCCTGATGCCAAACGTTTTTGCTGGACGGCGCTCTGTCAAGCATGAGTGGCCTCAAAGACATCCCATGAAATGCAGGCAAAACCTCAGCAAACATCTGAGGTCGATTCATGTTCTCTCAATGATGGGCAAACTGATTTGAGTGAGAGGCAGAGACGGCACCACCCAATGGAACTTGATCACCGACAAACTTGGGAGACATAGCAGCCATCGCAAGCCCCTTTCGGAGCACCGAATCCAAGGACGGCCTGCTTACATTGGCAGTTGCTTGATCCATGATATTCTTGGTCTCCGCTTGCAGGAGGACATGAAAATACTGAACCCCAGCTAGAAGCATGCCGCCACCACCCGACTGCAGTTCCAGGAATCCATCGGCTGCAATCGAAGATGTATTTAGAGCTCGTTCCAGTGTAGGTGTCAATCGGTCCTCTACTAGAAACCATTGCCAATGCACCTGAGGTGCCGCACATCGAGCTCCCAAGTCACCAGTCAATTGCATAATGGCTGACACTGCGGGCGCACCGTCGGCGACATCTACAATACCAGTATAAGCATAAGAGGGAAAACGCATCCTCAGCGATGCAAAAAAGGCCGGTGCCACATGCACTGGGTGCCGAGCAATGCTCTGAGGGCCGCCCGACACGCGGCGGACAATCACCGAGAAACGATGTATTCCAGCGGCCAACTGACCAGCATCCACCCGGAACTTTGGTCCAAACGAGGGGTTAGTGGTTGTAAATGGTGGGAGCTGTGCACAGAGGTCAAGCTCACCCACTTGAACAACTGAAGAACACCTCCAGGAATAAAGGAAATCTTCCTTCCGTGCTTGTGGCATTGTGGGGTCCCAAACTTCGACGTCCAACTCGAAGCTACACTGGGACGCAAGCCGAGGGCCAACAATGAAAACCTTCACTGCAGGCAAGGCTTCCACGCTCACTCTGAAAACCACACTCGGACGAGGTGCCAAAGTGGGTCGAAGATCAAACGCAGCCACTGCACGGAAGAGATGAAAAGTGCCAGGCTGAAAGCTGTAAGGTGCAAGATTCACATGGTTTGGATCAAAAGCCAGATTTCCCAGAGAAGCTTCTAAGGGCTGCCAGGACAACTGACCTGTGGACCGATATTGCCAAGTGACATTGGTTCGACCAGCACTAATGCCAGGGTCACGGTTTGCACACTGCAATGCGAAAGGTGCCTCACCTGTGGTGACTTCCAAGTGCAAATCATCACTGTGTTTTATCTTGAGATTGGTTGAGCCGACCGGACTAATTGCAGGTTCTGCCTGGGAGGTCAAGCCAACGATGTGGGAGGAGGTGACTGCTTCCGTACTATTGCCAAGATCATTCCTCACCGTCAAACGCACCTCCAATCGAACCTCGCCTTCTCGGAGATCTCCAAGTTCAGCACCGGCTCGGGATAAAATGGCTGGGCTGATGGTAATGAGAGGGGAGCTTTGCCCCGTGGCCTCTTCCAAAACACCAGCCAATAGAGGAATTCGAAACCACGAAGGGGTTCCAGGGCCAAAACCCCAGAAGAACTGGAGAGGCTGCCCTCTGGAATCTCGTGATTGCAAACCGCTGAAGACCAGCTCGCTGCAGGCTTGGGCGGTTGGAGGAATTGCTTCTAAAGAGGCCACGACAAATGGCACTGGGATGGGGGCATTTGGCTGGCCCTGTCCCTGCACACATAGCACAATCAACAGCAAAGAAGTGAAAAATTTTGGCATTCAAAGCCCTGGGGCTGGTGGAGTCATCTACCAGCCATCAGCAGGCTTACACGACCTTGGACAGGAGTTCCCTAAGAAACAAGCACACTGAAATCGCAGGAAATTACACATGCTCTCTAGGAAAGTGTGAGCTAGTTAGACTTAGACTCTCAGACCCTAACAACATGGCACGAAAGGGGCGACTCCAAGCCTTAAGCTTGAGCCACAAGGCTGAATGTTTGGTTTCGGGTCACAGGGAACATACGAAGACAAACAAAAACAAATGTGTTCATGGGTGTTCAAACGTGACTGAAGACACATGGCGCACCATGACCAATGACAAAATTAGGCAAGGAAAGCAATGTCAAGAATTCAAGGTAAGCTCAATCAACTATCACGATGGAAGCCGTCAGCAGGTGCATGATGATTTCTGTCCCACAACATGTGTGTATAAAACATTCCATGGAAAAGAATTGCCATCAAGGATGCCTCAGCCTCACCTCGACATAAAGATTCTTTACTCGGCCCCGGTCCGTCATTTCATTTCTTTAGTATAGCCGGGCTTGGGGCCACTTTTGCGAACTAGCAAACTCATTTTCCCAACAAAATTTTCTTGTTGGATGCTGGACGTCTGACATGTATTGAAAGAATGGAATGTCCCCAGGCCCACGCATGAACTGATCGTGGGATCGGTGCGGGGCGTCCTCGCCACGCACTGTGAACAGGTGCGCGGGTCACGGGCGGTTTCAATGGTAGGACTTATGATCGCTGGGCTGCCTGATCCGCTGATCCGCTGGCTGATCCGCTGATTCCTGTGGCTGCTGGCCGTGGCATGTTGATCTGCGGATTTGGCAATCCCATTAATGAGCTTTGTTCCAAGCGTCTGCCGTTTACAGTACTACACACGAGATGCAGAAACATCTCGACGCGAAAGGAGGATCTGTCTCCAAGCAGACGCCCTTTTGAGGTCGCTCAATCCAAAGCTTCGGCCGCCGGAGCTTCTTGTCGAAATATTTGGTCATTATGTGACCAAGCCATCTCCTGTAAGAAAAATAGGAAACCAAAGCGCTTCATGTGGTTTGTTTGGCGTCGATAGGTTGAAAGCCAAGTGAACGTAAACTCGCAGACAGACGTCCGGATTTCTTGTAGCCTCTCAGCATGACGTGGCAAATCAGGATGGCAAGTTTCTCGGCAAAATGCGTCCATACGATTGCCCAAGTGAAAAGGGTCGATGGCAAAGCTCATCGCCGCTGGCGGCGCAAGCGCAGCAGCAGCAGTAGAAGCCTGCATGGGAAGCAACGCAAGACAGATCCACCTGCCCAAACCCTACATTAAATTGCTTTGACGCATGGCCGGCTAGGCAAGCTGACGAAACTTTGTGGTCAATTCGCCGAAGTCATTGTTGACGCCTTTCTTTCCACTAAATTGAAAAGGGATTGATATATATATATATATAGAACTTCCCAAGATGTCAAGCAAAGGCCCGGCTGGCCTCCTTCCTCTTCAAGCAATTCTGGTAAAGCTGGCGGCTGTCATCATGAACCAAGAGCAGCTTCAGGGACGACGGCCCTTGGCGCAGCCAAGCAACAAAAGTATCTCTGATCTGGGGCAACGATTCGCTGCCATAGATCTCTTGCGTTAAAGCAATGATTCCAGGAGAAAGCCAGACACACCGTCGCGTCGGAGACATCTTTGTGTGTGGCGCAGGCGACGGCCTGCAGATCCTCTGGGCCGGAGTCTGGAAGGAGCAAAGTCGGCAAATCTTGTGTCTCTCCAACTCGTCCCGCAAAGCCTTTTGCCACTAGTCCTCTCTCTTTTGCTGCTTGAATCTTTTCAATCTTTTGAGTAGCCCGCGTTGCCTGGCACGTGGCGGCTCTCCACCCTTCTGGCGAGTGCGCCCAGCCAGCGTGTCGGTGGAAGCAGTCGTCCACAGGCAAGAAAGGGTTTTTCGCTGGTAATGTCATCCGGGTCACCTCCATTGATGAAGCCCTAGTCTACGAACGGGCTTGGTGCCAGCAGTGCATTTCGTTCTTGCCTGCCCGTCATCAAGCAGTCCTTGAAGCCCGTCGGTGATCGGCCATGACAGCTAAGGAAAAATAGCAGGCGCTTCTCTTACGTTTGTCGCCAAGCACCGTGATGTATGGGGGTTGTGGAAAACAGTGCCTTGCCCGTCCAGCCATGCTTTCGTAGCCCTGTTATTATCTTAGTATTCAGTCACGATGTAGCTCTACTTACGTCCCCAGCAGGTTTCATAGCGCCTCAGCATCCACCAACACCCTTCGAGCGAGGCCAACACGGTACCTGGAATCTGCTGGGATTTGGGCAACCCGCAACTCATCTCCACTGAGCTCTAGGATTGGACTTTGCTGGGTAGTGCTGGTCATCACAGCCATCCAATTCACCCTACTGGGAAGCCAACAATTTTGGCCAAAGCAAATGTGCCCTCTTCAAATGGTCTGCTGTGACGCGCAAAGGTCTTGCTTCCAGCTGCTCTTGCGAATACACTCCTGTGAAGATTTCAATCAAACACCAGGAGATACCCTGAAAGAACGCCGACCTGCCTCTGCCACAGCGCGCCTCCCATGCCAGCTCCTGACACTGCGTCGCCTTTCTCTCGTGCAACGTGGCCCTGCACATTGAGGCCTCCTTGAAAGGATCTGTGCCATTGGGCTGCGTCTTCGGAGAACTCTAGGTTCATGCGCGCGTTCGCAAAATAGTCTGTGACTCTCTTCACTGCAGGAGCAAGCGCAAACACTGGCGGGATGACAAAAGACCTGTTGGCAACTCAGGCACAAAGCCTGTTGCTTCAGCGGCATCTCGGCGAAAGCGAAGCCTGCTCATGACGAGCTTGACAGGGTAGCCTCCGAAGAGATGAAATCTGCAGTAAACTCTCTTGCGTTGCTGGTAGTCCTGGGGCTTCTGCACGGGCAGCCTCAGTGGATTGGGCCTCTTTGGGCTACCCCAAGCATATCTGCCACATCTGGCGTCAACGGCGCCCACAAGCGACGAGGCACTCCTGCGCACAATTGTCTTGGCCGCGCGGGCTGCAGAGCCAAATTGAAGCAACTTGTTCAAAGCGCTCTGATGTGGGTTCAATTTAGCGTTTGCTTTGGACGCCTTTCAACCTTCATCTGACAACCGCCCAAATGCAGTGAGGAAGTCGTGGGTCTCCTCCAAGTTGCCAAGAACGCCAAACCATTGCTGCCCTTGCCACTGCCCAGGCTCACCAGGAAGACCCTTGGCATTTTCCAGCTGCGTGAAGTCAGCACACCGATGGAACCCCTCTTCAGGAGTAGCGCTTGTAGACAAGACTGCTGCTTTTCGCTTGCGCAACAAAGCCAAAGCTTAAGAAAAGAGCGCAAGTTGAGAAAACGCGCGGCGCAAAGCCGGTAAAACCTCTAAGAAGCTTGAGACACGTCAGCCCCGCCTGCTCATTGCTTGACCCTGCAGCTCTGGCTGCCTGAGCTGCTGCGCTTCAACTTCAGCGCGCGGAGGGCTTCGGCGACTTGGTTCGATAGAATCGGCAAAACTTGTCACGCTACTCTTCCTGGTCAGCGGGTAGTTGACGTTGATGGTGAAGGGCATCACTGGACTAGGACTGGTTGGAAGAGGGACGCACGCGCTCCGTTGGTGAGAGCGCGCATCAACGACAACATGTTGGCAGCACGGGTCTGGCAGAACTGGCGCCCCAGCTGGGTCAACAGCCCGGCAGGCTTCCACAACTTACCCACGGTGTCCCACATGGATTTCATGGCCGTCAAACACTGACGGTCGATTTCGCGACCCACGTTCTTGAAAACTAGTTCGGTTAGTACCCAGAGCTTTTCCGCTGCATCAATGACACCAAGACACAAACCACCCAAAAGGATCAGCACTTACTCTTGGAAAAACATACCCCGAAAGATGTCTAAAGCACCCTGCTGCCCGAACAACCCGTGCCACATGGCGCGAAAAAAAACTTTTGCCAAGCACTGGCGCGCGCGGGCAAGTGCATCGCAAAATTTGCCCCAAAGAAGGGGAGTCCAAAGATCCTGCTAGCACAAGTGGCTCGTCTGTTCTTGGCGTTTCCATCCATGACAAGGACATCGCATCGCACGCCTGCTGCGTGGCCCTGTCCATGGCGTCCCTTGTGAAATGTGCCTGGAGAACTGGCACCAGTTCTAGTAACTCTTCAATGTTCTTGATGGAACGTGGGCCGTCACTGATGAGAAGACGTAATCTTTCAGTTGGTAGGAGGCATTCTTGACGATATCACTTTCACTGATTGAACTCGCACGTCGCCGAACTAGTCGCGCGCGAGCATTCGAAGCAGGCCATGAGTCATGCGAAGCACAAGCTGAGGTAAACCGAACATGGGTTGGCGAAGGAAACTCAAGCTTTAGCGCGCAAGAAACTTGTGGCCAAAGGTTGGTGAGCTAGTAATCCATTGAATTCATGCGCGCACGCTGACCCTTCTCCCAACTAGTCACTAGTCAGCCGATCTGCGGGCTGATCCGCTGATTCGCTGATCCACCGGCGATTCGCTGCTCCGCTGCCATGGCTGATCCGCTGATCCACCGGCTGATCTGCTCGCTGATCCCCTGCCTGGTCCGCTGATCCGCTGACCCGCTGATCCGCTGATCGGTGGCAGGGTGATCATTTTCACCCTGGAATGCAACTAGAATGAATTGGCAGGGCCACGTCAGGTGTGTGCTAGGCTGTGGGCACTCAATTAATTCCATTGAAGAATCAAAGCGCAGGCTTCAAAGCGCATTGGCCATAGCTGCGTTAGGGTGCGCTGGGTTGCCTTGGGCGGGGCTTCAAAACGCATGGAGGATTCCATGCGATTGCAATTTCTGTTTCTAGTAGAGGTCTAGGGAGAAGCGCGGAAGGCCTGGTAGAGAAAAAGGTCTGGTAGAGAAAGCACAGGAAAATTGGAATTCAAAAGGCAAGCATACTTACAAGCAAAAATGCATCTTAATGAAATGCACAAAATGATGACCAGGAACGTAACGGAACACAGGAGCTGTGAAAGCTGGCTG